ACACACACTGACACACACCCCAGCAGTGTGTTCTGTTTTTAGACCCGGCCCACCCTCCCGTCCTTCACTGAGCGGTTTCACAGCGGCTTCGAGGGTTCTTGTGACATTCTGTACAAAGGTTCCGTAAACTGTGGGTTCCCCTCCTGGTCGGTGCAGCGCCACCACCAGGTGAACAACACAACAACGCAACAGCACCAAGAGGAGCAAAGTCTCTCCCTGTTTTGTTAATTACAGCTAATATAAAGATAAAAGATACATTTGTTGATCCCACAGTGGGGGAAGTTCACCGGTTCAACAGCTGCAAGGATAATTTAGGAACAGCCAGCGCACAATGTACGAAACAGGAACACACAAATTACAAGAGAAAAACATTATATACAGCGTTAAAAAAAAAAAAAAGACTATATACATAAGATGGTGACAGAAGCTGATGATAAATCAGCCAGTTTTATTTATTATTTTATTTATTGTTCATTGTCCATATGCTAGCTGTACTTTGAAAGAACACTCATTATAATATCACAGATTAAAAATGTTAATACATTTTATTTTTACCAGTTATTTTAAAATTGTCCCAGTTTTGTTAAATTACAGCTAATATCAGGGAAAGAACAGAAAACAGTCACACTTTACCTGGTAGCCACATAAAAGTGGAACAAAACTGTAAAACAACAGCAAACAACAACAAAATATCCAAATCAAAATACATAAAAAAAACACATAAATACACATTTATTATGTTTCACTGTAGAATGACACCATCTGTTACTGTATTTAATATCAGAAAAATATTGATTTTCCTCACAAATAGCATCAAGCATATGAAAAATAATGACATTTATGACATGTTTTCATGCTTTGAAAGAAAAATTATTGAAGTTAAGAAAAAAAGTAAATAGTAGAAAAAATTATCTTATTTTACATGTTGAACATGTTAAAAAAATGTATTCAAATAATAATAAATTAAAAATAAAAACCTTTTCTTTATTATTATTATTATTATTATTATTATTATTATTATTATTATTATTATTATTACTGTTACTGCTACAGCTTTTGAATGTTACAATATTCCATCATTTAAAATAAATAAATAATAAATCTTGTAAAAATGCTGCAAAATGTTCTCACGTTGTTTTTACAGTGTCGTTGTCAAAAAGTGTGTTTTCACGTGTGTGAGGCAGCAGCTGATGGTCAGTTTTCTTTTATCAAAAACTGTAAATAAAAGTAAACAAACACAAAAGTCTGTGACGTAACGAGACGTGTTGGTTCGTCTGCGGCTCGATGTTGTTCGTTGTTGTTTTGAAGGAGGAGACACAAAAACAGCTCCAGTTGTTTCTCTATAAATACTTTAAGTGGCTGTTGTGAAGAACATGTGCTGCCTTCAGGATGAAGGAGGAAACTCTGGGACTCTACACGTCACCATGACCACAGCAGCTCCTGAACTTGAACCAGAGTTTAACTTAACCTTTTTTTAAAAAAATACTTTCTGGGCTTGTTGCCTTTACTTTAGAGCAGTGGAGAGACTCAGGAAAGGGAGGAGAAGAATGGGGAGAGACCTGCAGCAAAGGGCCGTGAGCGGGAGTCGAACTCACGACCGCTGCATCTGGAAACTATCGCCCCTGTTCATGGGTCGCCTGCCCTTAACTAAACCTTTAGCAGAGCTCAACCAGAGCGGCAGCAGATCCCAGAGCGGTCGTCTGAAGGCTCTGACTAATAAACACCAACTGAAATGTTCTAGAANCTGTAAAATAATGACTTTTTACTTTACTTCTGCAGTCATAACCTGGAATTTAACAACATGAGGAAAATCTCTAAAATTTATAAATACATCAAAAACAACAGAAAACATGTAAAATAACACGTTTCAGCTGATTCACATGCAGCAGAAAGAGTGTTTAATGTTTATAAAATACTGATTTTTGATCATAATACTCAAATCATAACACTCCACCTCTGGCCTGTTTGCTTCCAGTTAACATGCACATTAATAGTTAAGTTATTTCACAAAACATCGCTGTAAAAATGAACACTGAATAAATGAAATGACCAAACAGCAGAAATACACACGAGAGCAACAGTCTGGGGTCCAGAAGCTCCACATGATATATCACCTCCAGCTCAGCCTCCAAGCAACAACAACAACAACAACAACAACAAGTATTCTGTGTTTCATGCAAGTGAAGGTGCATAAAAAACACAAACTATAGGAACAACACACAAGAAGAAGCGAAACAACGTCCATATTCCCTCTGACAAGAGTCCTAATAAAGACTCTGGACACAAACACCACGTCAGATCCACGACGGGACTCAAGCTGAACGTCTACTGTCACACTTTTGTCTCCTATCAAGGCGTCCAGGCGGCGGATAAACATCTGGAGAGCAGATGTTTCTTACTCACCCTGATCTCAGCGGCTGCTGCTGTTTGGAA